TCCCAGTAGAGGAATAGCTGGTTTAAAGGGGATTTCCAGACCAACTTTTCTAAGGAGTCTCCATACTGATTTCCATAATGGTTGCACCAGTCTAGCTCCTTCTTAATGGTCTGAAGGTCATCACAGTTCAACTTTCCAGACTTGGATGAAGATCCCCACTGGCCACTCTTAGAATTGAAGCCACTTTGGCCTCTTCATAAGGTGTTTTCTGTTAAGCTCTGGTATTTAGAAGGCACTACAGCCTTAGTAAGAGGAGGAGGAAGAAGAGGAGGAGGAGGAGGAGGAACACGTGCAGGGTGGGTGACTGTACATCCTGTCATAATAATCACATTGAAAGTCATAGTCCAAGTCAAAAGAGGAGCCATTACATCTCCACTGCAGATTGTTGTAGAACAATCAGAGCCATGAAAAGCTAGCAAGGCTGAATGAAATCAGGAGTCTCACTGAGCTTAGTCACTCTCCAAATGAGCCCTGAGTCAGGGAAACTCCTCACATTCATTGAGGGATACAAACAGGCTAAGGAACATGCACAACTAATTTCGTGTAAACAAACTGCTATCTCTATTGCCTTCTGGGATGATCACCAAACTCTAAGTTTATGCCTCATTAGTTGGTAACTTCCCAGGTAAAGGAACAAAGAACAGACCAGGTGCCACCTCCAGGAATCTGGTGCTACCTTGTCTGCAGCTGGCTGGAATTACAAGGGGCCAGTTTCCTTCGGCTCTGTTCTTTGGTCCTTGCTCCCTCTGTACCGTAAACTTCAGACTCATATCACTACAGCAGATCATTCCACACCTGCTTTTCCTCTGTGCACTGTCAGCTCTGCAGCCAGATCAATGACTAAAACCTGGTCAGCCATCATTCTGCCATCCTCTCCAGCTAGAGCAGCATGGGACTTTCTCTCATTAACATACTAACAAAGGCAAAGTCCTTATGAAAGGAGCAATCTGCAGTTTTGCCATACTTTGAGAAGATCGTCTCCACATCAGATTTCTTCACCACAAGAACATTGAGATTCCCAATGAACACCCGGGAGTTCATGCAACAAGGATCTGTCTTGTTGGTAACATTGTTAGCTGTTGTGTTTGAAGATAAGCTTGCTGACAGTGACAAAAACTGTAGCTGAAGATCAAAAAAATCTCAGGCTGGCCAGATAGCTCGGTGGACTAAGGGCCCGCTTAGGTATTTGCAGGGATTGGTTCGATCCTTGGCTTGCCTTGATGGCCCTGTCCCCTGGGTGGGCTGAGATGGGATTGAGACTGGGCTTGATAGCACACACTGTAATCCCAGTGCTTGGGAGGCTGAAAAACAGGAGGATCACTCCGAATCTGATATGTGTAGTGAGACCCTATAGACCCTGTACTTAATATATTTAAAAAAAAAAGAGCTCACAAGAAAGGGGTGAGAGAAGGGATTCAGGATTCAGTCCTGCTCCTGGTTCTTGGAGAAGTCGACTACTACTTGAGGTCAGCAACACAATGCAGCAGGAACTGCTCAGTCTCCATCTCTTCACAAAATAGCCCTGAGTCTTCTCCCTCAACATACTCATATTAAAGTGCAAGTCTTGGGGGCTGGGTATAGAATCACCCCAGTTGTTCGTTTCCTTTATTCTGACTGCACATGCCTAAACCCTGAGGACAAATGAAGATCAGAAAAGCTAGATGCCTTTGTCTTACAAACACTAAGAAGAAAGTCCTCTGGGACTGTATGTGGTACCAGAAGGCCCTGAATCCCTGAGGGCCCCAGCTCCACCCAGTGCCTGGCTGATTTGCATGTTGCCCCCAGAGGCCACTTCTGCTGCTCAGAGTCCTCATGAAAAGGTGCTTGGTGGATCCGGGGGAAAGCAGCCTCAGCAGGGCTTCACTGAACATGGGGGTTTCGGCTCTGCTCTCCGGTCTCCTGCTGCTCTGGTGCCCAGGTGAGGGAGGCCGGTGGCAGGGAGCATGTCCAAGATGACAGGAGCTCCCTTTCCCTGGTGGTGAGATCCTCCCAGGGTCTCTGTGACTCTGGTGAAAGGTCCTTTCCCAGAGACCCGGCTGCTCCTAGGTTAGGGAACCTGGAAAGCCACGACCTGCTGGAGAAGAATAGACTGGGACTCGCTTACTAACAGCCACTGCATGTTTTCCTTCCTTCTCAGGCACCAGTGGGAATGTGGTGCTAACTCAGACTCCAGCTTCCCTGAATGTGACTCTGGGTGAGAGGGCCTCCATAATCTGCAGGGCCAGTGAGTACGTCAGTGATTATTTAACCTGGTACCAGAAGAAGCCAGGCCAGATTCCTAGGATTCTCATCTACGATGCTGATGACCAATTTCCCGGGGTCTCGGACCGCTTCACTGGCACACAGGATGACACAAAATTCATTTTCGAAATCAAGAAGGTAGAACATGGAGATGCTGGCACTTACTACTGCCAGCAGAGCTACACTGCGCCTCTCACAGTGTTACAGCCCGGTACATAAACCACCCTCCCAGGCTGGTTGTGTAGGGAGGCTCTGTGGTTTTAGCAGCTGCCGTGTCCCCAGGGCTACATTCACAACTGCAGCCTCCACGGTAGGGGTGGGGAGGGTGCGGCAGGGTTCAGTGGTAAGGGTGTGATGGAGTCTGGTCTTTTAGAATTTGTTCTCTTGGCAACACAGCCTCCCCAAACCTTCAGTGAAATCTAAAAATGAGAACTCTACATCAGGCCTGCAAAAAAATCCCTCTGAAACCTGATCCTTGAGTCTTTTTTTCTAAGACCCATTCTGGAAAGTGTTTTACGGCAGAGAACTGATACCCTACCAGAGGCCATCTCCAAGGAAGTATGGGGGATCTTTCTAGTGCTACAACTCTAGTAACAATAATAGAGCAAAACAACTCTGTAGCAACTACCAATTACTGACATGTTGAAGGCTTGCTGTACATTACAGATTGCACTAAGCGTGTACTATCCAGTCCACTTAATCCCAGATGAATCCCCTATAGATTAAAAAGCTAGAGGTTCTTGCTGCATCCCTTGTTGAAGGTACCGGTGCTTACAGGTCAGAAGATGGAAATACCCTCGACTCCTCTGAACCCATCACTTTTATTCATTAATTCATTCACTAAAATTAGATGTAATTAAATGCAATAAAGTATGCTTATTGTAAATTAATTTAATGCAAAGTGTAGAGCTGGTGAGTCTATACACACTTTGCCTTGTCCCACTACTCAGACTGATACAGCCTGTCTCTAGCTTCCCACGCACCCCCTTAGGTTCCATCCTAGTGACATCCTGTCTTGTCCATTGTCACCTCAGGCTGCCATGCTTCTGTTTACCACTGGGGTGAACCATATTTCTTCAAACCCACATCAATGGAATCCTAGTAGGTCTTTGGCTTCTTGCTTCTTTAGATCAACATGATTTTTGAAATTTATCTGTGTGTTCGGTTAGGTAGTAATTTGCTTTTTTATTGTTGAATAGTTTGCTATTATATGAACATGTCAATTAAAATATTCATTCTTGAATTCATGAATTGTTCTATGTTTGAGGTTGTTAAGTTTTAGGGTTTTTAAAATGTCTTTTATCATTTTGTTCATTCTCTATATTCTAAGAACTCGAAGTGCTGAATTATAGAGTTGGTTGATACTCGCTTATCTATCAAATGCTGTCAGACAGTTTTGTAAAACTGAGAAAAAATTTATACTCTACCAACCATGCACAAAAATGTTCATCTCTCTAAAGTGTTTCTAAGAGTTGGTATTTTTTTGACTTAAAAATTATAACTATGTTAGTAGATCCTGAAGTGGTATTGTAGTTAAAATGTACATTTTTTTTGGTGAGTAAGATGCTAAATAACATATGAGTTTTTAGTCATTTGGATATTATTTGGAGGAAATGACTTGTGAGAAAAACTACACAAATTAATACATATTTTTGTACTTTGTTGAGTAGTTTTTTTTTTGGTGGTACTGGGGATTGAACTCAGACCCTTGCACTTCCCAGGGAAGTGCTTATTCTACTGAGCCATGTCCCCAGCCCCTGTTGAGTTCCATATATATATGAAATAAATTGAAATAAATTTTGTCAGTATATTGATTAGGGATTTCTAGAAAGAATTAGAATTCTCTCTCTCTCTCTCATCTGTCTATCTCTCCATCATTTACCTATCATCTACCTATCTCTCTATCATTATCTATCTATCATCTATCGATCTATCTATCTGTCTATCTGTCTGTCATCTACCATCTATCTCTCTATCATCTGCCTATCTCTTTATCATCTTTCTCTATTATCTATCTGTCTGTCTATCTATCTATCATCTATCTATCTATCTATCTATCTATCTATCTATCTATCTTCTAATGTATTTGATAGATTGGTTCACATAATCACAAAAGTTGAAATGGTCCCAACAGCTGCAAGCTGGAGAGCCAGGAGAGTTTATACCTATTCTGCCCAAGAGACTGGAAACCTCAGAGTGAAAGAGACAGTATGCCACCCTAGTTCATAGCAAAATCTTAAAACCTCCCAGAGAGAGGTTCACTGGTGCAAACCCACATTTAAATGCAGAAAAGCATAGTGTCTGATATCAACAGGTAACAGAACCCTAAAACACACCCGCTTCAGAAGGAAGAGTGAAAGAGAAGAGTGAAATGTGTTTCCTTCCTCTTTTACACGTTTATTCAGATGGAACTTCCCTGGGTTTCTGAGTATGACTTTTAGAATCTACATCTAAGTGAGATCATCTGGTATTTAACCAACATCCTTTCATTAGCATGAGATCCACGAGGTTTATCCATGTCCTGACGGCAAGATTTCTATTTTATTTTACAGCAATAACATTCCATCAATGTGTCACTTCCATATCTTGCTTATCGTGAATAATGCTTACTGAACATGAAAGTGAAGATATCTCTTCAAGACTAAGATTTGGTTTCCTTCAGAGACACTCCCAGAGATGAGATTGTAGGGTGGTTCTATTGTTAAATTTTTAAGAAACCTCCATAGCTGTTTTCCATGATAATTGTACCAGTCTACACATCCACCAATGGTATTCCATGGTTTCCTTATTCTTCATGCCCTCAACAAAAATGAGTTTTTCTTGTCTTTTAATAAAGTCATCCATATAGACACAATGTGATATTTATCATGGTTTTCATTTGTATTTTCACTGTGATTAGTATGATTAACAACATTGAGCACCTTTTAAAATATCTATTGATCTTTTGTATACCTCCTATGGAATTATTTGTATTTTGGCCCATTTAAAAAATTGTGTTCTTAGACCCAGGCCTAGCCCAGGTCCTGTGAGTGTGTGGAGAGTGTCCTGCTACCCTGCGCTGGTGGGACCAGTCCCAGCCCAGGCGCAGCGTGGGCCGGACCCTCTCCCATCCCCTCGGGCTGCCCCCCACCACTCCGCCATACCTCCCCCACCCCTCCCGCCCAGTAGGAATTTCTGCCAACTTCCGAGAATGCCCAGACCCAGTCCTAGCCCAGGTGCGCAGCGGGAAGGAGCTGAGCACAGCAGCCAGACCTAAGCCAGACACAGCTGGATAAGTCCAAACTCTGTAGAGCTCCACCTGAACTTCAGTACGTGTGAAGGTTATAACTACAGCAAAGATCTACAACAAAGGTCAAGGACAGTGCTACACAAAA